ATGACCACAACTTTCAATTGTTTTTCTAACAAGAATGATTTCATTGGAAAGTTAATTGTCATGATGTACAGTACAATATTATTTAAAATGATCTAGAATGCGATCTAGATGGAAGTATTGCGGACATGTCCGAATTGACATGACCGAATTATTTAATTATCGCGACTGCCCAATTTGGACCAATAAATTGAGGTCACGTGAAATCTTAAACATTTTCTACCATATGCAACAATAAAGAAGGCCAAATATTTTAGATAATAAAGGTTTCTTTTTCTTAAAAAAACTTTGGCCAATTTAATGTCATATAAACGATGCTATCCTTAATGAGAATGGTTCACGAATGTTATACAAAACGAATGCGGTAAGTAATTGATTTATTCACAGACCGTTTCGAATGATTTGAATGATTCGAATGATTCGTACGTTTTTTTTCGAAAGGTTAGTACAAGAGAATAATCTTATAAAGTAATTTAATACTTATGATTAAACTGATAACCTTGATAAGAATAATATATATCATATATAAAAATTAACAAATGATAAAACACATACACAAATTTACAAATAATACCTCATCTTTGAACCCTTTATTCTTTCGTTCCTAATTTTACTATAATTAAATATGGTAACACGTTTGTGTTCCAATTGAAGCATTCTACTGATGAACTCAAAATAGAATTGATCAGTGCTTCAAAATATTTTATCGAACGCCAATTTTCAATTTTGTTGAACCAAATATGTTCTTGTATTTATTAATAAACAATGAATTTGTGTTTAAATCATAATAATCGTAATGTATTATGTAAAGAAAACCTAAGCAGTTTGTATATCACATATAAAGCTTATATATCATTACATACGCGAGTTTAACGTTCGACCAGCATTAACCAAACAATTATGTGATCTTTAAGAACCAATCATGAAAGATATTAATAGATAGAGAGCGATAAAAGACGATAATGAAAGCGATTAACTCTATTTTAGGGTTGAATGAAAAAAAGAATACCCAATTACGATTAATAACTTCTTTTGAAAGAAAAGGATCTATTATATTTGACATGCATAAACTGTAATAGACTAATAAACTGTAATAAACTGTAATAGACTGTAATAGACTGTAATATATTGTTCTAGAACTGTGAAGATAAGCAATATAGATTACATAATACAAGTAAATTTGTAACTTAAAAAAATGGTCCAATAATAATCATATAAAAAATGCATCTATTAAAATTTAGTATCATATAATTTAAGATATAAGATTATCCGAGTCCAAGCCCTTATTGTAACATTATTAATGAAGTAAATTCTTGATATTACGTATTGGTTGTTTAAAATCATATGATATAAACCCAAACATATTAGCAAATAGACCCAATATTTTGGAAATAATTCCAATAACAAGAATTAAGGTTAGAATTTTTTCAAATATCGAGTTTCAATCAAGAAGACAAGATTAAGAAAAAATATTGGCTAGCCATAAGGGGCGATTATAGAGAAACTTTAATCTTTGTAGATCTTATACACAGCTTATACACAGGTCTGACTCAGGGACAAATGATTGTTATTTATTTTTTTAGCCACGCGATAATACGTGACAGAGGTGACTTTTGGTTGAAATAGAATTTTAAATGTACATATTAAGTAATTAGGTGGAAACCATTCTAAACTAGATTTCGGATAACACCAAGAACGGAAAAGTTTTAAACGATGTTGAATTTTCCCGAAAAGTGGTTGAACATTATGTGATACATACCTAGACCGAAAATTTCCGATATAGAAATTTAAAAGAGTCATTCATTTTATATTCAGTATAGCTGTAATTAAGATTTGAATTCATTATGTATTTTACGTATTAATAAACAAAGTTGACAAATATAACCCCTTAATTTTTACAATTCGTTGCGCGATCATCGTAAGTTAAATTTCTTAGAGTTGAATAAATGAATTCAATAAATTTCATTTTCAATATCTGTAAACCCATACATAAAGTACTGTATATGCGTTGTGTGTGTAAGTACTTATGTATGTACGTACAGTAAGTGCGTACGTTCGCAATTAAAAGCAGATCACTGCTGTATTAGGCGACTAATATGCGACTAATATGGCGGAGCTACTACGGAATTTGGCCTTTATCGTCCGAGATTCCCAAAAACAAATGATAAAAAATTACAAAAATTGAGATAAATAAGGATTGATTTTCAGCCAACCATTTTTTTTAGCCAACCAAATCCAGAGATATAAAAATTTCGTGTTTATCGTTATTTGGATGATGACGAAATTCGGACAAGTTACCTTTTGTATGTTAATTGGGTGTTCCAGAACATTGGTATGTTGTATGTTAGTTTGATATTCGGCATCCAAAAAAAAAATCTTGTTCCAAAACAAATCAATCATATGATATTTAAATTTTCTTTCTTTTATCACAAAAAAAATGCATAAATATTTAATTATGAATAATTATTATAAATAATTATGAATAATTATTATTAAATAATTAAATAATTACTGTATATATAGTAATTATTTAGAAATTATAACGATAATGGTTAACGTAAATAAGTAAATTTTTACGGTCTAAAAATATTGAATAAACTGGAATAAACTGGTACCTCACACACATTGCACTTAAACACGAAAAATCCCGAATATACAAGCATAAACGATGTGAAACTCAAGTTTCTGTATTAATTTCCATCCTTGGATATGTATACGCCAAATTTTTTTTTACATCCGTCAAAAATTCTCAACATTGCAAATAAACAAACATAAACAAGATTATCAAAAAAAATGACACTAACTTGTCTTTGAGGCTCGTGCGTAATTGCGCAATGCGTAATTTGAATCTCGATCAAATAAATATATTCGGTAAAAATGCTTGAATTCCATCCATTGTACTTACCATTGTACTTATTATACTTATTATAACTTTATTCTTCACTTCCATTATCTCACTTTCCATATTTCACTTGCCCATTATTCTCACTCTATTATTTCATTAATAATTCCGTGATTGTCCAAATTTCCAAAATGGTAATATAAACAACATTACGCAATTTTATTTTCTTACTTTATAAGTAATTCATTCGTTCATGTGAACCTTTATTTTTCCATTACCTTCATTACTTCCATTAACGTGCCAAATATAGTACTTTTGAACCGAGCGGTTCTACGCGCCACGAAACAATCAAATATAAAAATTAATTTAATAATACGTGTTTTTTGAAAATCGCGTTAATAACGCATGTTTAAGAAAGAATAAGAGAGAACGCATTTATATAGATCTGATCGTGAATTTATCAAAAATTTATCAAAAATTTATCAAAAATTTATCAGAAGTTGTCAGAAATTCATCAGAAAGTTATCTATCGTAATTTATAAATTATGCGCACCAAATTAATTCCTTTTTATATAAAATAAAAAAGGAATACCGATACAGATACTTGATAAAGTTTCATCTTTGTTATCTAAGGTTTTTCTTTAAGAATATACATTATAGTATATAGTTTAATTTTAAATAATGCACGGTTACGAGAATTTTAAGCTTTTTTTTAATATTGCCGTTAATTTATCTACTTATACATCTTATATATCTTCTTATATATAGTTAAAAGTTGTACAAGTAGAACACAGATTAATAATTATCATGACCTCCTTAAAACTTTAACGTTAAAAACCAACTTACGTGCGTATTTACAATTTATCAGTTATGTATAGTAATAGAATAGAATTTTGATTTATTAACATTATTTTTTTTTTTGCCGTGTCTTTACTAAATCTTATCAGACTTAGTATTTTAATTGTCGTATCTTCCGACCATTTTCCAATCATTTTACAATTGATATCTTCCTGATATCCTTGAAACCCCATGAATTTAAATTTTTTTTTTTGTTTTTTTTTGTTTTTATAATTGAATGTCCTATCCACATTTTTAAAACCGTCCAATAAAAAAAAATAATAAAAGAGAAAAAAAAAAAAAAGAAATTTTAAAACCATATTCCATACGAAATTTTTTAAGTCTATGTTTGGATTTTTTTTTTTTTTTTGATGAAAAAAAAAGTACGTGTATAAACGAAAAATTTACGATTTAACCTTAAAAAAAAAATGATTCCTATATAGAAAAAAGTCATACCAATAAAATAATGCCATAGAAAAAAAAAACTGTTAATCGCTAATTTATAAAAGGCGAAAGTTATAAAATATCGGAAATTCTCGGAGAATACGAATGTGAATAAAATATATACATGTGCGTGTGTGTGCGTGTGTAAATATATATATAACGATATAAAACTCGATGTATATATATATAGATATATAACTCGTTAAAGCAAGCATCAACATTAATTATTTTATTTATTGATCCCCGATACCGACAAGTGCCAAAAGAGTAAGCGATTCACAAACCCATTACGTATTTGTTCAATTTATCCTTTTATTTGCAATGCCAGTCTAAAATAAAATAAATAAAATCAGTTATTAAAATGTTAAAGATTAACATTGGCATTTAACATTGGCGTTAGTTTAGAGATCTACTACTATATACAATAATAATAATAACAATAATAATACGTATATATTCTATACTATCTATACTATATTTTTATATATATAATACATTTAGAATATATTAAAATAATATTTATTAAAAAATAAATATTTTAATATATTTAAAAAAAAATTACTCACCTAATATGATAATGATCCATTGGTAACGATGATTATTATTAAGTATTTCTCGATAAAAGAAAAAAAAAATGTATTGAATTTAAGAAAACATGCCAATCGTTTTTTTGTTTTTTTTTTTACGAATTAAAAAAAAAAAATTTTTGAATTTTGTTTCTTTTTTAATAAATGTTTTTTTATGCAATTATTTTTTTTTATTTTTTTTTTTCAAGATGAGATAGATGTGTACAGTACATTTAATATGACCAGTGGTATTGTGTTGTTGGCGTCCTTCTTTGTGCCGTATGATGATGGTGATGATGATGATGATTATGTGTATGCGTCATATCTCCATCATCACCCAACATTGGAACGGAACTTTCGTTTCCAATTCCACCAATTGGAGATATTCCAGCTAATCCTCCCGAAATTTCTGTTCCTGTAACATAATTTCCTCCAATACCCATATTACTAGACATATTATTAGATGGTGGACTTGTATTATTAGATGCTAAATAATATTGTCTAGGTTGTGATGGATGTTGTTGTTGTTGTTGTTGAGCTGGTTGAAATTGTGAATATGTTATCGATGGGAGTGAATTTTGAAATGAATACATTGATGATGGTGATGTTGTATTAGTAGCTGGTATTGCTGTTCCAAGTGGTGGTAATGATGATGATGCCGGCATTGTTAACGATGATGTCGCATTTCTACCTATAGTTAATGATGAAGTAGATGATCCTGTAGAATTCCCTATAACTAATAAAGCTGATGTATCACTAGAATTTGGTGAAATTGATGCATTCTGTGATGTTGTATGATGATGTTGCGAAGGTGACCATTGATAATGTCCCCAAGTAGAAACATTTGAAACATTTGGAACATTAGAAACATTAGGAACATTAGTTACATTAGTTACATTAGAAACATTGGAAACATTAGAAACATTTGTAGGATTTTCATGTTGTCTTGATTGCGTAGAAGATTGTTGTTGATTATGCTGCTGTTGTGAATGTCCGTACTGAGATGAATAATTATCAACCATTAGCAATGTAGAATTTCCTATTGAATTTATTGAATTTGAATCATGTTTATTCGAATTTACCGGCGGTGGATCTATTGGTGATAATGGTGCTGGCGATGTAGCAAAAACTGATTGACGTTGATTTGTTTGATGACTTTGATGCGATATCCAAGGTGTTACCGGAGATATTGGTGAATATTGTGGTGATCTTGTAGATACTGTATGTGGAAGCATGCTGATAGCTGGTTGTTGAATTGTTTGCGTTTTTGTTGCTGAATTATCATTGTTCATATTATTATTATTATTATTACTATTATTATTATTATTATTATTAAGAATGTTGGTATTATTATTATTATTCGATCTGATGCCTCCTTCCGTTGTTGAAGTTTCGTTACAATTTAAAAACTTGTTAGAATTACAAGAAATTGAAGCCAAAGCAGCTTTAGCAACATTTAAAATTTCTTCGTCAATATCTCCCATACTTTCTAATTGAGATGTGAAAATCGCAATCAAATTTTTTATGGCCGAATGTATAGATTGTAAAGATTGCATACCGAGTATATCTTGAAATAATTTGAGAGTTTGTATAACATTATTTTTGGCTACAGTAGCATACATTGGTTTCTTGAGATTTAATATATGAATAAATCCTGCATAAAGTGCGCAATGAATAATAAATGGTGTGCTACTAATCATGATCAAGAAATTCTTATTTATAAATGTTGTGATAGTATTTGCTGCTTTTGCACAGGTTGCCATGCTGTGATCTGACGTAATATTAATATAGTGAATTCTAATCATTGCATAATTATAGAGAATGCATAAATAGACCCGGAGGTGATCAATTGTTATTTTCGTGGATAATGATAACGTCAACGGTTCACAATTTTCTATTCGTAAATATGGTGGTAATTCTTTTTCCCAATTATTTAGTTTTTCTTCAGATCTTGAAGTTATATTTTCAATATTATTATTAGTCTCAGATAAGTTAATTTCTAAAATTTCATACATTATTTTTGTAATTTTAAAATATTGTATGAAATATTTTATAATTTTTGATTCGAATTCGTCGGGCGTAAATAATGATTCGAATTCTGGAAATTCAATTGTACAATATTTATCCGAAATAGTTGACATGCGGTTCAAGGTTACTGATTGCATATTATTAACGATCTTAATACTCCACCATAACTAGAAAAAAATTATACGTATCAAGATTAATAAAAAATTACCAAAATCATATTATTAATGAAAAAAAATTTATTTTTTCTTTTTTTTTGTTCAAAAATGATGATTACTCTTTTTCTGGCTTCTTTTTCATTTGTGGACAAACCTTCGGATGCATTCTTATCTTGTAATCTCATTGCGGTAGCGAATGTTGTGGCCATTCCTATGTATGTGCAACCTTTAAAACTTCGTGAATCATACATTCCTAAGAGAAAAAGTGCAACAGCGGTACTCAATCTTGGATAATTAAGATTTTGACTAATCAAATCTAGAATCAGTATGTAGTAAGTTTAAATGTATAAATGTATAAATGTAGGTAGGAAAAGAAAAAAAAAAGGTTATAGTTTAGTACTTGAATACAATTACCAAATTGTCAAATTGTCAAATTATAAATTGTCTCAAATTGCCAAATTGTCACACGAAAGATTAACGATATATTAACGATATATTAACCTCCAAATAAAGGGATAAAGGGATAAAGAGGGACAAAGAGGGACAAGGGATAAAAGGATTATTACCTTGAGCATGTTCATAATATTCTAAACCGAGAATGTGAGAATCGTTATGATCTTTTCTAGCCATTGAATCATCTAAATAATTTGAACCTATCGCGCAAACGGCATATAATAAGATACGGGGCATTGTTTTATTTGTATCTCTAAATCTTTCATTAAAATATGCTTTATGTAATACTGGAAATGTAGGATGAAAATTATCGAAATACGAGTTAACAAATCTATGAGATAATTCATCTAATTTTGGTATATCATGTATATGAGGTCTCAAAATAGTTTCTTTTTCATCCTGAATTTGTGATATATAGTGACTAAAGTGTTGACGAACTTGATCTTCATTTTGTAAAGACATGGAAGAAAATAATTTAACCAAATATTCAAAATCATTATCAAGTATAGGTAATACTTGGGGAATAATTCGATTTAAGTTTGTGTTTGTATTCGAAGAAGACGTAACGATAGAAAATGACGTGCTTGTAGAAGAGGTTGCTTTTTTGGCTGTTCTCGTACTTTGGTTAGATTGAGATCCTCTTCTTTGACGAGATGTTGACTGCGGACCGTTTGTCGCAGATGTGGATTTTGAACGATTAGGAGTACGAATAGGTTGTGAGGAAACATTTGTTTTTGATGATGCTATTTGAGATTGATTGGTATTTGTACGGCTAGCGTTTTTTCCGTATGTGCATTCAAGCCCTACAGAAGTACAATATTTACAAGGTAGATGATTATAACCATCTCCATCGCATTTAACCTTTCTCCGTCGGCATCTATCACAAGCTATTGTTTTTAATCTTTTTTCGCGTGAAGTAGCATCTACAGACCCTGATGGTGGTGGTCTTTTACCAGGATTTGAAGTTGTATTAGTCATTTGATTAAACTTGAACCTCTGTAGTTAGTCTTAAAGTATTATCTTTGCTTATTCTCTAAAACTCTACGGCCAAGTCTTTTTTTTTTTTTTTTTTTTTTTAACATTCAAGGAAAAAAAAATAAAAAAAAAGAAAGTTTATAGTTAGTGAAAAATGAAAGTGAAAATTTCCTTTATGGAAGACATGGAACAATTGATTAAAAGGCGACCATTCACGAAAGATTCAGATTCAAGATGATAGTAACAGAAACTTACCTGTTTTTTTATTATTTATTATGGGATTAGTACATAAAAAATCATACAAATATTGATATAATCACTATAGACGTTTTCCTCATATTTTTATTTTATTTTTTGTTTCTTTTTTATTTATTCAAGTTTTTATAAAAAAAAATATTTTAAAGTATTCAAATAAAAAAAAAAATTTTTAGTACGCATGTGCTACATTTTATATCACAAAAATAAAAGATATAATAAAAAAATATACATTTATACTACGTATATATATTAATATATGCAGAAAGTCTTTGAGTGTATTTAAGTGTATTTTTAGAATTATATTATAACTACATAGAACTACATAGATGTGGCTAGAGATTTTGAGGGTCATAAATAGATATACCCTAGTATATATATAATCTTTGATGATTACAAATTAGCTTTACGTAACGGTAAAGAACTCAACATTTGTTAAGCTGTCAAATAAAAAAGATCGGTTGATTGACATTGTTGTATGCTTTTTTTATTTCATTTTTTAATTGTATATAACGTTTATAACGAGCACGTGAAAAAATGCATACTCGAATGGACAGGCGGTTTTTTTTTCGTTAAACGTTTGGTCATAGATAATGATGCACTTTTCAATATATGTAATATATATAAAAAATTATTTGATAACTGACATAGAACCAATATAAAGAGACTATTTCTTTTTGCTTATAATTTCATTTTCATTTATGAAGTATTTATGAGGTGCGTTTTTAGGTAACAAAAATCGGGAAGACCAATAAAATAGCATAGAAAGCATAATGAATGATATTGAAAAATATTAAGATCTTTGTTGTTTCTTGCACAAGAATGTTTTTGTAATGTAATCCCCGCAAAACGCATACATTATTGTTAACACCCTTGTATAATGCATATAAACAATTATTGAATTATTGGTTCAAGTTGTTATTTTAAAAAAAATATATGCACAAAGGTTTATGCACATAAAAGTTTACATAAAAATTTACGCGTGAATATTTTTTTTTCTTTCAGATCTTATGAATGAACATCTACTGTATTTAAATGTCTCCCACTATATGATCTTAATATAACAGAATGAAAAATGGAAACTAAAACTTCATTCTAAAAATTTCGAAAAATAGATTATTATCCCTTAAACTGTAGGCTTTTCCAGGCAAATTTGCCTGGAAAATTATCATAAATATTGTTATGATCTACTTT